ACACAAAAGAATAGCACGCAGTATGAAAGCCGCAATGACCCCATAACTGTTAAAAAGTCATGTGCATGAATGCAAGTAGGTCCCGTTTTAGGCGCCTATCAACTAGCTTTTTTTTAAATATTTTTACGTACATAAAAAGTTGGATATAATGTACATAAACAAAAATTATGTGCTTGACGTCCAAAAAAAAAATCTGCCTAGACTGCAGGGCTAGTCTTAAATAAGGCCCACAATAAAAGGGAAAGTCTTATATGGTCTGGCGGCTGAAAATTGCTCATGTTTAGATGAAAAAGACTGTAAATTCACATCAGATAACCTACATATCCAAAATTGAGTCCCCAATTCACATTTGCAAAGAACAATAATGGTGAAGCAAGTATCATGGTATGGGCATATTCTCGTACTATAATGTTGGTAGCATATCATAATGTAAACCCATACAGGATCAACATGTTCACCTTGATAGCTCAGAAATTGTGATGCAATTTTATTCGTAATACAAAACAAATTTATTTTGGAAGCTTTACCACGGTTATAAACCAAAAAAAATCAGATAGAAAGACGTCCAAAGTTTTAAAACCCTTAGGCTAAATGGTATAGTGGGGACCGTACAAGCCCCAGAACTAAAACACATCGAAAATCTTTGCAGAAATATTAAAAAACTATGTTTTTAATGCAAAACCAAAGAAAAAAACTGCCCGTGAGCTATTTTGAAAGAGCCAGACAACAATTTTGCCAAGGGAAAATTCTGGTGTCTAGTGACGTCAAGGTCGGTCGTTGTTGTTGTTGTTGTTGCAGCCCAAGCTTTAGAACAATATTTTTTTAACTTAAGATGTATGAAATCATACATTTCAATCAAAAAAAATTTTCAAATCGCCTCATTTTTAAGTTTTTTAAGACTTTTCTTTAAGTGGTGCTATTTTTGTTGCCGCATAACTTTGCTACTTTTTTGATAAATGTATCGAAATTTTAAAAACAAAAAATTACCATTTTGTAGCAGAAAGAAAAATTGCCCATTGGTGCTATTTTTGTTGCCGCAGCTGTATATAAATATATAATAAAAATTGTATTCTTATATTCTTAGGCGATTCGAACTAGTCATGTCAGTCTGCCTGACAACTAAAAACGCAGAGATCTCGGAGACTACGAAAGCCAGATTCCATGGTTTAATACGCAGCTCCACCGATAGCTACGCCCCTAATTTGGAATAGTTTGGGGCGCCCAAATTTTAAAAGTTTTTATACCCGTATACCGTTTACCGTATATATATATATATATCTTTAGCGAAGGAAGCATTGTAATCTACCCTTTTTCTCTACGAGTAAAGGGTATAAAAACTTTTAACATTAGGGCGTCCCAAACTATTCCAATTTAGGGGCGTAGCTGGCGGTGGCGCTGCGTATGAAACCATGGAATCTGGCTTTCGTAGTTTCCGAGTTCTGCGTTTTTAGTCGTCAGGCAGATTTATATATACATATATATATTATATTTATGTATTATATACATTATATTTATATATTATATATATTATATTTAAATATTATATATATATATTTGCTATCATATATACATTTGCTATATATCACTAGCGAGGTCGAATTAGCCATGTTCGCCTGTCCGTGTGAACGCTGAGATCTCGGAAACTATAAGAGCTAGAAATTTGGGGTTTTACGTTGAGATCACTTAGCTTCATACGCAACGCAAGTTTGTTGTGAATGTGCCACCCCCACTTTTCCACGGCTTCCACAGCTTAAATGCTAGCAAAACTATCTGGAACTTAACTGAAATGTATTTCTCTCGCCAATTCCTACCAATTTACATTAAAAAAATTTTGTTAATCAAAGTTCCATGCCCACTCTGCTTCTTGCTTCAGCGCAAGTTTGTTTCAGCAGGGTGCCACGCCCATTCTAAAGCCCACAAACGCACTTACCGTTTAAAACGAACACATTTTTTAATGTTTTAAAAAAAAATGTATACGAGATTTTGCTTTGAGTATCAATGCCAACTAATTGTTAAAAATTGTTCGATTCGGGCCATTCATGAAAAAGTTAAAAGCAAATAATGTGTGCAATCTTGGGAACGGACGCTTTGGCGTTTAGCGTTCTCTCTTGTTTTGAACATAGAGTAAGAATCTATATAGAGTCGCCAATTGCTCTGCCCGAACCTCTGCCCAACCTCTGCTAAGAGCCAATTCAAGGCCAAGTTTGAAGCTAACTTAGGTGCGAAGCAACAGGAATAGGGATTTCGATTAAAAACAAAAACAAAACAGTGAGCAAGAGCGGTGCAGAATGAGGTGGGAATGAATTACAATTTCGATCGAACTTGTCAAAAAGAGGGGAAATAAGCATTTTTCGCCTAGGTGGCATCATAGCCTCATTATCTAAAGAGAGCGGCAGAGCAATTGGCGCCTCTATATAGTTCATTACTCTATGTTTTGAACAGCGATCGCGGGAATAAAGAATAGCGAATTTACCAAGTTGGTTAAACTCGACAAATACAAGAACGAACAGGCACCGGGAAAATACAATTAAGATTGGCCAACGGCGATGGTGACATCGACGGTACCAAGAGCACCAACCAATGATAACGAAGAACGTCAGCAGTTTCGACAACATCGGAAAAGACGGTACCAGCGTAGTTATAAATAACAATTCCTTAACTTAAGTAATGTTAGTTCCTAATCCGACTCAATAAAAAAAAGTTTGGCTATGTTTAATAAAAGCAATCAATCAATCTTTTAACTTACATGAGTTGTTTTGATGTGAAACGTATCGACTTTGTCTTTGTGGTCTCCAAACGATTTCTTATTTTTATCACGATAACCATTTATATAGGATTTTTATATAGGTTTTGACATAGCAAAGATATGGCGATGCTTTACTTTTGTTAAGTTTATTATGACTTTAAATTAAAAGGTGTACAAAAATATTAAAAATTCTCATAAATTATTATTTTTGCCAAGCTTTCAGATAAAATTAACTTCCATAACGGGTTCAGTGCAAAATATTACCCAAACTTAAAAAAAGTCAATCGTGCAGAAAAGCAAATCGGCATTTTTAATTTTTATAAAAAAAACATTGTGATGTTCTACACATCGTGATAAAAATAAGAAATCGTTTTGAGACCCTAACGAAAACCTATATATGTTTACCATATTATTATACTTATTATTAAGTTTTCCTCCAGGCAAACACCCTTCCCCGAAGGCTTTTACCGATTGGGGGAATCGCCTCTTTAATCTGCTCTTTCCTAATAACTGTAGACAGTTAAACTTAATTCTGGCACCTAAAATAATTTTAAACTATAGTATTTTAAAAAAAACAGATTTTAATTTTTTCTTGTCAAAAAATGTACACGTTGTACATTGAATATTGAGCGTTGACGAGTATTCTGCGCTTTGCAAATATATCTGTTTGTGTCTACACGACATAAAACTACTGGGTCACGCCGCGGGACGCGGGACACGGGGACAATGGTTACTGCGATGCGGAACCACAGGCGATATTGGAACTGCACTGAGGTTAAGCTAAGATTAGCTGCTAGTTGAGATACTGTAGTATTACGAGCTCTATTCCCGGAGGTAGAAAGTAGAAACGCGGGGTTATAAGTTGCGTTGATAGCTGATTTATTCTTAAATAGATTACATCCATGTATATAACACAGAAGTTCAGTAATGATAGGTATCACGAGTTGTATTCTAAAGTAGGTCAGTGAATTTTGATTATGCTAACAGCTTGCGTTTGGCTGACACTGCAGAATAGCTAACCGATTGGCGGGGGAGTGTGACGTCGAGTCGAACGGTCAGTTAGTGAGACGTCGACTTAAGTCATATAATGTGCAATATGGACATCTCATCTGCAGTCGATGCAACTGGACGCCTGGTACTGATCCCAACCTTGGGTACGAAATTCAATTTAATTTAATCGTCGAAAGTGTGAAAATTCCTTTAAGTTTAGTTCGGTTACCGTAGACGCCAACAGCAAGGCTTTCTCCAAGTAATATCTGCTACTGCAACGTTTGCAACTGGTAGCCAGGATAGTCGGCAAGTCTCTCGAGCGCCTTAAATTCTCTCTCCGTTTGTATAAACAACACGAGTAAATTCGTAGTTGAAATTTTTATATTGTACAAATTAATACCCTGAGTGCTTTGGATTGAGTATCTTAAATGAATTCTTCATTTTACTTTTGGGTTTTCGACAGTTCTTAAATGCAACTTAGCTACTGCAAGCAGCGGGTGCGAGTGTTTAGGCGTTGCGAGGTCCCGCTGATTCTGCTGAGGTGGCCTCTTGATGGATTGGATCGGAGTATTAGCTAAAACGTCTTTTCTGTTAAGTCTATGGAAGGGTTTTGGCGTGACCGCCGATGTAGCTGCTGGTGCGTAACTTAAGTTGCACCGCCACCGGTTAGGTCTGCCGGTTACTGCAGGGGACCGCCGAGGGTATCTGCTGAGGCGGTAACTCCCGCCCTCAGACTGAACTACCGACCATAGTGGAGGAATGAACGGTGTGAATGTAGAAAGTGGAGGTATGGATTTGATTAAAAATAGAAAGCGTGGTGGGGTTTCAGGTGATGGGCTTTCTCCGCTACCAACAACACGATGAACATCCCTTCAGTTCTGCAGTCGGCTCCGGGTGACATGTCAGATGGCAAAAACACATCCGCTGTCGACGTCAGCAGAGCAGTTTGCGCAGCGTAGAAGACTGACGACGAAAATGGTCGGACAAGAAAAAGAGGCAGATATTTGTAGATTTCCCTCTCTTCATTGTTTTATAATCTGCTTTTTTTTTGTTTGCGTTTATCCGTTATGTTTAGCTAGCGACCAAAATTTTGCTGCAAAAATTATTGCGGCGTAGAGACATACATATATTGTGTTTCAAAATAAAACAAATATTTTGTTCCATAATTTGTTTCTGCCTTTATGGACTTTATACAAACTTGTCAGCCTGCTCTGTGTACATATATACATAAATCATTAATGTATTTTTTTTATATTTATTTCAGGGAGCTGGCTATCTAAGCTTCAACAACATAAATCAAGACCATTTGCCCAACATTTTAAATGAAGCTGTTACATTATTTTGGAAAGCGCTGGAGTGTGAAACTCAGGAAAAAGTAATTTGTTGCATGTTAGACATGTTCGCCTTGTGGACCCAAAAATTTACCAACGAATTACCAAGTGTGGTTATTAACATTTTTAAAACTGGCATTCGGCTGAAAAGCACAAATCAAATAATTCGGCAAAGTTATCTCGAATGGCTTCTTTTATCCATACAATGTACCGAGATTAATAACCATAGTGCTATTATACCAGATCTTATTTCGTTTTACACTAAAGCATTGCAAAACGCATCACAACTATGTAATTTGACTGAGGCAGTCTGCATAGCTTGTATAATGCTTATTTTAGAAAAGCCATCAGAAAATTATAACTTTTTTTGGACCACAGTTTTTGATATGAACAAAAAATATTTCTTTAATGAAAAGATTACTGCAATAGCCCCGACCGAGACTTTATGCAATATATCATTAATGACAAGAATATTGCTCAATTCATATCATGACAAAATTAGAGGGGAATTGGAACCAATAGTTCGCACTTTAATTTACAACTTATGTAGCAATTCAGTAAAGGTTCGAAATTACACTACTGGCCAGGTAAAAAAAATACTAAGTGCTTCAAAAGGAATAGAGTTCGTGAAGTTAGCTATCTATGAATTTGGTAAACGCATTAGTTTAGTCAACATTCAAAATGACGGAGACACTTCAATTGATCAATTTGGAACTCCAACACAAGCGTATGTAGACGCGTTAGTATGTTTGACCAGTATAAACGATATTTCGTATAATGAAGCTATGGATGTTGCTATGGAACTTTTACTTATATCACACCATCCTGCAATTGTATTGAATGAGCCATACTTATGGGAAATAACCATTCAGAGACATTTTAGTTTAGATCCAAAACAATTAATATTGGCTAAAAATAGTGAAATAGTTAATAAATATATTAACAATTTTATAAGTAATGCGCAATACGAAAACACCATATCAGCATTAGTTCGAATTTGTCCTAATCCTATTGTACCAACAGTTGTAAATCACTTAAAAACTTATCTTTGCAATTCTACCAATTATCACTCTTCCAATGAGGAATATTTGACATATTTGACTCCAGAAGGTGAGTTGTATGATAAAAGTGTAATACCTCATATAGACTCACAATATGAAACTGTTCGTATTAAAAGAGAAAATAAAGTTTACAGTTACAAGGAACAATTGGAAGAGATTCAACTTCGTCGTGAAATTGATGAGAAAAGAGAAAAAGAAGGAAAATTAAAAACTATAAAATATACTCAAAAGCAGGAAGAGCAAATTAAAACTCAAATGGAAAAAGAGCTAAGAGTAAAGTTACGGATTCACAACCTTTATGAAAAATTAATATCTAAAATAAGCTTGCTTAAAGCATCATGTTCTGGAAATGGAGAACAAATGTCACAACATTTTTATGCTTTGTTGGACCATATTTTGCAAGCTTCAAAGAGCCCTTTGAGTGCAGAGGTTCTTACAGATCTTTACTTATACTTACGCAACTTGTGTTTTACTTTCCAGCCAAAACTTGGACGTGACATTGCAGTAGCGACAATCAAGCTTCAAGGCCCGTCATGCATTTTAAAAGAGGAATATGAAGCTTTAAATATAAACAAAGCTATTAATGATATTATATTCGATCTTGACAATCATGTTAAATCAAACTTACTTGACCCTCCCTCATTTTCTTATGCGTTTGAGTTTCTAAAGCGTGCTCTATTACTGTTAAACAATGATTCAAACAATGAACTTATTTCGAAAGGCATACAAATAATAGCTAGGCATACAAATGATGAGGTTAACTGTAAGCCGCAGTTTATGCCTAGATATGGTATGATTGAAGTTTTGTTATATATTTTTAAAAATAACAATAAACTCGCAGCACAGACGTCTGATGCCATCTTAGAAGTAGCGAAATCTTCAAATGGTAGTATTTCCAATGCTACCCCGGATAACCAAATTATAGATATATTTCTACAATCCCTGCAATCTAATACTGACTCGGTTAGAAAAGTTGCGTTAAAATCCTTGAAAATAATGGTAGATGGAATTGTAAATCACCTTAAAATTGATAATAGTCTTAAAAAAAAAGTTGTAACTCGATATTGGATAGCAAAATATGATACAGAGGTAGAAAATAGGGAACTGGCCCTCCTTATTTGGAATACTACAAACTTTGCCTTACCCGGAATTGACGATATAATTTGTGATGTCACACACCCCGAACTATGTATCCAAAAATCAGCTTCAGAATCCTTAGTCCCACTATTGGCTGACGAAGAAAACATAAGAAAATGCCTAATAAAGAAATTATTTTCAATTTACAATGAAAAGTTATCACTAATACCTCCAGTATTGGATAAATTTGACCGTGAAATTGAGCCTGCTACAGATCAATGGAAACCTCGAAGGGGTGTTGCCATTGCATTCTCCACTATCGCTCCATTATTATCTATTGATGACATTGATGTTATTATGAATTTTATGGTATCACACGGGCTTGGTGACAGAGACGATATCGTACACAAAGAAATGCTAGCAGCTGCATTAAAGATAGTTGATTTACACGGAAATAAAACAATAGTGAACTTGTTACCTGTGTTTGAAGATTTTCTCGATAAAGCGCCAAAATCTCAAAGTTATGATAATATTCGCCAAGCTGTTGTTATTCTGATGGGTTCGTTAGCACGACATTTGGAAAAGGATGACAAGCGAATTGATCCTATTGTTAAAAGATTATTAACAGCATTGTCTACTCCGTCACAACAAGTTCAGGAAGCGGTCTCGAACTGTTTACCCCATCTTATGCCATCCGTGAAAGAGGAAGCCCCCGCAATGATCAAAAAATTATTACACTCATTGGCAAAGTCCGACAAATACGGCGAGAGACGCGGAGCTGCCTATGGTATTGCCGGCATAGTTAAAGGTCTTGGTATTTTATCCCTTAAACAATTAGATATAATGTCGAAACTGACAGCTTATATTCAAGAAAAAAAAAATTATAGATCCAGAGAGGGAGCTTTGTTCGCTTTTGAAGTTTTATGCACTACACTTGGTCGTCTATTTGAACCTTATATAGTTCATGTGCTACCACACTTGTTGCAATGCTTTGGTGATCCCTCCCAATATGTAAGACAGGCAGCCGATGACACAGCAAAAGTAGTTATGGGAAAACTTTCCGCGCACGGAGTTAAACTAGTTCTTCCTTCACTTTTGGAAGCTCTTGATGAAGACTCGTGGAGAACAAAAACAGCCTCTGTTGAATTATTAGGGGCAATGGCATTCTGTGCACCGAAGCAACTGTCATCTTGTCTTCCTAGTATAGTGCCGAAACTAATTGAAGTCTTGGGAGATTCCCACACTAAAGTACAAGAATCTGGTGCGGAGGCTCTGAAAGTAATTGGGTCCGTTATTAAAAATCCTGAAATTCAAGCTATTGTTCCCGTGCTTTTGGATGCGTTGGAGGATCCCTCTAATAATACATCTACTTGTCTTCAAAGCTTACTAAAAACTAAATTTATACATTTTATTGATGCTCCGTCTTTAGCATTAATTATGCCAGTGGTGCAACGTGCTTTCATGGACCGATCCACAGAAACTAGAAAAATGGCCGCACAAATAATAGGAAATATGTATTCTCTAACGGACCAAAAAGATCTAGCACCGTACTTACCAAGTATAATTCCTGGCCTTAAATCATCCTTATTAGATCCAGTCCCTGAAGTGCGTGCTGTATCAGCTCGAGCACTCGGTGCTATGGTGAAGGGTATGGGTGAAAGTTCATTTGAAAATTTATTACCGTGGCTTATGGAAACATTAACTTCCGAGTCTAGCAGTGTGGATCGCAGTGGAGCAGCACAGGGCCTATCCGAGGTAGTTGGAGGACTTGGTGTCGAGAAAATGCATAAACTTATGCCAGAAATAATTTCGACAGCAGAACGATTAGACATTGCTCCACATGTGAAGGATGGATACATAATGATGTTTATATACATGCCTGGAGCATTTCCAGAAGCATTTACGCCATATATAGGGCAAATTATCAATCCAATCTTAAAAGCTTTAGCGGACGAAAGCGAATATGTTCGCGATACTGCTCTCAAGGCAGGACAGCGAATCGTTAATTTATATGCAGAAACTGCTGTGGCACTGTTACTTCCCGAGCTTGAAAAAGGATTATTTGATGATAACTGGCGGATTAGATATAGTTCAGTTCAACTACTAGGAGATTTATTGTACCGTATATCTGGAGTATCTGGAAAAATGACTACAGAAACAGCAAGTGAAGATGATAATTTCGGCACCGAACATTCTCATACTGCTATTATTCGCTTTTTAGGAGATGAACGTAGAAATAGGGTATTATCAGGACTTTACATGGGACGAAGTGATGTTTCGTTAATGGTACGGCAAGCTGCGTTGCATGTCTGGAAAGTTGTTGTGACAAATACTCCGAGAACTTTGCGCGAGATTCTTCCAACATTATTTGGTTTACTTCTAGGATGTTTGGCTAGTACAAGTTATGATAAAAGACAAGTGGCTGCTCGAACTTTAGGTGACTTGGTAAGAAAACTAGGGGAACGAGTTTTACCAGAAATTATACCTATTCTTGAAAATGGTTTAAACTCCGATCACCCTGATCAACGCCAAGGAGTCTGCATTGGCTTATCTGAAATAATGGGATCTACATCAAAAGAAATGGTACTTACCTTTGTGCATAGTCTAGTTCCTACTGTCCGCAAGGCTTTGTGCGATCCATTGCCTGAAGTTCGAGAAGCAGCAGCTAAAACATTTGAATCGTTACATAGCACAGTTGGCTCTCGGGCGTTGGATGATATCCTGCCGTTTATGCTAGAAGGTCTCTCAGACCCGGATCCCTCTATTGCTGAGAATACTTTGGATGGCCTTAGGCAGGTAATGTCCATTAAATCAAGAGTAGTTTTGCCATATCTAGTGCCCCAACTGACTTCTCCACCAGTAAATACAAAAGCCTTATCTATTCTTGTATCTGTCGCTGGTGAAGCGTTAACAAAATACCTGCCAAAAATATTATCAGCTTTATTAGAGGCCCTATCAGAAGCCTACGGATCTCCGAATGAACAGCAGGAGATCGATTATTGTCAAACGGTTATATTGTCGGTAACCGACGAAATTGGAATTCGAACAATAATGGATACATTACTTATATCAGCAAATTCTTCTGACCTATGCACTCGTAAATCATCAGCAAGTTTACTATCTGCATTTTGCATTCACTCACCAGGAAATTACTCGCAATACATTCCTCAACTTTTAAGATGTTTACTTAAACTGTTGGTTGATAATGATAAAGAAATATTACAAAAATCTTGGGAAGCTCTCAATGCTGTAATTAAAGGTCTGAATGCCGCACAGCAAATCTCTCATGTGTCTGATGTGCGCCAAGCAGTTAGGTTTGCAGCAAGCGAACTAAAAGGACCGGAGCTTCCTGGATTTTGTTTGCCAAAAGGAATTACTCCGCTGTTACCAGTTTTTCGAGAAGCTATTTTAAATGGATTACCTGAGGAAAAAGAAAACGCTGCACAAGGACTAGGAGAAATTATATTCTTAACCAACGCACAATCATTGCAGCCTTCTGTAGTACATATAACTGGTCCATTAATTCGAATACTAGGTGACCGTTTTAATGCAGCCGTTAAGGCAGCTGTATTGGAAACTTTGTCAATTTTGCTTCATAAAGTGGGTGTCCTATTGAAGCAGTTCTTACCACAACTTCAGACCACATTTCTTAAAGCGCTGCATGACCAGAACAGAAACGTAAGGATGAAAGCCGGAAAAGCTTTATCTGAATTAGTAGCAATTCACTCTAGAGCAGATCCCTTATTTAATGAAATTCATAACGGAATAAAAAATTCAGATGACTCTTCTGTTAGAGAAACAATGCTCCATGCTCTTCGCAGTATTGTTAGTCGATCTGGAGATAAAATGTCGGAACCAATAAAAAAACAAACTTATATTACCTTATTAAGTATGATTGGCCATCACGAAGATGTCACACGCAATGCCGTTGGCGGATGCTTGGGGGCGATGTTAAAATACATAGCGCCTGGACAAGTAGAGGATTTATTTAATAATTTAATACTGACGGATAGTACGGATGATCTATTAGTAAAGCATGGATACACAATAGTTTTGTTTGTAGCTTTAAAAGAATGTCCCAACGAATTACTTTCTTCAAATCTGCACGAAAAGATTATATCTTATGTTTTGGTCAATATTTCATCAGACAAAGTGTCAATTGCTGGCAATGCAATAAGAGCTGCTACTTATTTTTTGGAGCACTATCTCATCAATAATTATGAACTCCCTCTTAATGTTGTAATAGCATTAGCTAGAGCTATGAATCATTCTAGCAACGATGTTAAACAATTGGTTGCAAAAAGTTGTACCCACCTTTCTAAAAGTTTAACAGCTGATCAAATTAATCTTGAAGTTTTCAAATATTTAGTCCCCATGCTAGTGAACGGTACTAAGGAAAAGAATGGATACGTTAAATCAAATTCAGAACTAGCATTAATTTCCATTTTAAGGTTAAGAACTGACGATTCGACTTATACAAAAATTTCAGATATTTTAGAATCAGGTGCTAGGGATTCATTAATTGATGTTGTAACAAAAGTTTTGAAACGTGCATCTCCGCAATCCATTATAAAAGAAGAAGAACTTGATGATACACTTCAAACATAATTGCAAACTTTTTTAAAACAATAAATATAATTTGCTCTAAAAACCATGTTGCTGTATTTATACTTTTTAAAAATAAAGACAAAATAATTTATATAAAATTAAATTCTTGGGTAAGTCGTAGAACATTTTCAGCAATATTCTTAGCCTTAACGAAATCGTCGATGCGTCTAAGTATCCAAATACCTATAAAGGAAAACGATTTTGCTATATTTTATGCAATTACATAACACCAGTTTAAAAACGTCGAAGACATTTAGCTCCAGAGATTGAAGCTTAAGGTTTTTTTCTGCTTGACTCCTTGATTACTCGTAAATTAAATTAACAAATTGTAATGGGTTTTTAAATAAGAGCGCTACAAACTTTTTTTTTTTTAATTAAACAAAAATGGTTAGGATACCCATGAAGTTTCTTATTTCTGTGGAAGTTCATTCGATGCTACTTTGTATGATTTTCGTTGCATGGCCACCACGGACACGCTTGCAAAAGTCCAGCCGCTGATTTCATTTTTTGACAATTTTTAAGCATAAATCGGCCGATACTCAGGTTCAGGATTGATATTCGTAAGAAGTTCATCAATCGTCGCTGGATTGTTGCCATACACCATAGACTTGCCGCAAGACCGAGACCAAATTACTGGGCCATAACCTGACATAACACCAAACTTGGTTTTTAATAAATCGATCGCGGTATCGGTGATTGGCTTGTGGCGCCTTCGTATTGGCACCACATATTGCCCAAGTCCACGTATCATCCAATTCGAGCCAAACCGAAATTTTTGCGGAATGCAATGGTGACTCGTAGAGTACGTGTAAATTGCTGCCTGACCAAAAACCTTGCCATTCGGCCACAAATTAGCCTCATCCATAAAGTTGAGGCCACTGACTATTAATCTCGGTAGTAAGTATTAATTATTTTTTCTTCAGTGGACCAAAAGCTTGTTAGCGATATCGCAAACGAGAGTTATACAGGTATATAACCCTATAAAGTATTTATATTCTAGATTATAATCACTAGCCGAGAAGAACATCACATGTTCGTGTGTCTGTTTGTTCACCCGAACGTTCGCTTTTATTTTATTTTTCTATCGGCGACTTTTAAAGTTATTACCTTTAAACGAGCGTATATGGCAAGAGCATGGTCAGTAACGACATAGCCAGTAGATAAAAGTGTTGACAAAGGTGTAAACAATTCCATCGAATTTATATTTATTTGGTCAGGTTAAGTTGGTCAATAGAGTGACGGGTATATTAAAGGCGAGGCATTCGACGATTGCGTTTGTTCTTGTCTTTTTATCTTTAGTTATGATTAGCCGATTTCGCTGATCGGAACTAACTTAAAAAAAATTGTTTAATGCATTGTCTGCAGACATAAATGGCATTCAAATTATATAATTCAAACACTAATAATCCAAATATATTTTATAGCTTCCTCTCGAAGATAATACTTTGGTAGAGACAACAAGATAATAACAAAGGTCGACGCAATCCTGCACTTTAAACCTTTAACTTGTGAATCTAAACTTAGGTAAATTTTGTTACTTTTTTTACACGTTACTCGTAGATTAAAAGAGTATACTAGATTCGTTGGAAAATATGTAACAGGTAGAAGGCAGCGTTTCCAACCCAATAAAATATATATTTACTTTATCAGGGTCACTAGCGGGAGTTCATCTAGCTATGTACGTCTGCCTGTCCGTATGAAAGCTGTGATCGCGGAAACTGTTAAAAATAGCATGCTGGGATTAGGCATGCCGGCTCGGGAGATTCCTGCGCTGCTCAGGGTGCCACGCCCACAAACCGCCAAAAACTGTGCTGCTTGCAGTTTTAATGCTAGAACAGATATTATTAACAGATATGTATTGGTTTAATCAATACCTAACTCAAACTCCCAAAAACCGACTTATAAAGGAGTTAAGAAAAGAGGCAGAGTCAGGCAATGACGTATTCATTTGTGCGCCCAACCGACCGAGGGGCGCAGTCGTGTGTCGTAAAAAAAAATTAGGATCTAATTCTGTGATAGAAAATGTAATATTAATCCTTTTAGGGGAGAGGCAGAGCGTCATATTTTGAGATAATAGAATAAAGTCTATTATATTCAGAACATAATACTCTGAAAGGTTCATGCAAGTCATACTTAGATCTACAATGATTTAAAATTAGGGGAATGTAATTTCTTGTTAATCTGCATTGAACAGAAAAGTAAAGCTGGCTGACCAAGTCGGGGCTATCAATTTCACCTCGAGTAAGGTTATACAGTGGCGAAAAAAATAATAGCACCACTTCAATACATTTTCTTCTGGGTAAAATAAAATTGTTTTCAGTGTTTGTTTTTTTTCAACACGCAATTTTTTTGTACTCTTTAGTATTCTTTCTAACGAAAAAATGTGTTAGCTTATTTTTGAATCCTGCCTATAAATTTATTTTTAAGAGTTTTATTAAAAGAGCCCAAAAAGAGGCGAACAAATTATAGCACCACTACAACATTTATTAGCCTTAATACAAAGCACGGGTCAATTAAATTTATCTATAATTTAAATATTTTTAACACAAAAAGTTTGATAATACCATTGACGGTGCAAACTGTGCGTACATATCTGAGGGAACCTAACCTAAAAACCTGCAGCCCGAGAAAAGTACCACTTTTAAATGCCAGACATATATCTAAGCGAATGAAGTTTGCCAAGGATAATGCAAATTGGTCACCCGATCAGTGGAGGAATATTTTACTGTCAGGTGAGAGCAAGGTGATTATGTCAGACGTCCAAAGAACTCGGAATTTAAGCCCCAGTACACCACAAGGACCATAAAGCATGTAGGGCGTAGTGTGATGGTATGGCCCCGATACATTGGATCAAGGCCATCATGGATCAGCACGTATACGTGGATATCATGGATACCATTATGCTACCTTTCGCAGAGTATGAAATGCCGCTCGTGTGGGTCTTCCAACAAGATAATGACCCCAAACATACCAGCAAGAAGGCGAAGAAAAGGTTTAGGGACAACTCTGTGAACGATATGTAGTGGCCTCCGAAGTCTCCAGACTTTAATCCAACAGAGAATCTATGGTCGGACGTCAAGAAGGCAGTCGCTGCATCAAAACCAACATCCATCGGATCCCTTTGGGGAGTAATTAAGGAGTCCTGGACTCAAATTTCCATAAAACGATGCAAGAACCTAGTTGACCCCATGCCAAGACGCTGCGCAGATGTTATTTCCAATAAAGGATACACAACAAAGTATTAAATGAAGAATATAAACATAGATTTAACAGTTCAATATTGTTATCTCATGAATATTGGTAGTTCCTATAATTTTAAACCCATTTTTGAAAAGTGGTGCTATTATTTTTTTCGTTAAGTTTTTCAAGTTTTAGTAAAGTTATTTAAATATTATAAAAACTTTCTGATACTTTGTTGCAATTCCATTCCAAAAAGGTATTGCATGTTTTGACAGAGCTAAAAATACAGGTAGGGTGACTATCCAAACATTGCTCGAGTAAGTGGTGCTATTAGTGGTGCAGCTGTAAATAAAGACTGATCCAAGCATAATTCTGCGGTTGGCTACGCAGGGTAAGTTAATTAGAAGTAATCTACTAGAATAAGAAGGTAAAATGAGGTTTGCATCCCAGTTTAGGCACCTTAAAGCAAATAGCAAAAAGTTGTTCTGTACACATTCGATACGATCAACATGAAATGACTCCAGACGGGAGATCCATACTCAAGCGTCGGGCGGACAATGGAAATAAATCAGGTCTTGGTCATATAAGGATCGTCAAATTCCTTTGACCACCTTTTAATAGAGGCAAGCGCACCCCTAGCTTTATTCACCATGGACGAAATATGATCAGCAAATTTTTGTCTTGGGTCCAAATAAACGCCATTATCGTTTACTACAGTTATTCATTACCTTAATGGCGTAATAATATTTTCTAAGAGCTTTGGGATCGCTCACAATTTATTTATTGTTTGTTTGGATTTTGCTACGCTTCTTGATTAGTGGAATTACAAACGATTCCTTTCACATATGGGGAAATTGTTAAGATTCTAAAGATAAGGTAAACAATTTGAGAAGGCGCTTGCATATTCCTCTATTCTTTGTCTTATAACACCAGTTTACAAAAGAAAATTGATGAAATACGCCTTTCAGGAAACCTTTGTTTTCCGGTAAGATACATCTCCCTGATTAAGAAAAGGGCACTTAAAATTTTTTCTATGGTACCACTTTTTTTTAAAGTGTAAAAAACGTTTTTCGCACTTTTTTATTTTCTAACTCGAGTTGTGATAAACCGAATTCGGTCATCAAAGACTCATTTTACAGGTAATAGAATGCCCTTTAACTTTCTTATACACATCATTAAGTTCCATTCATTAGTTCAAAAGCTACTCTTCGTCAAAGTTGAAAAATTTGGAAAAATATCAAAAACGCTGGCATAAATGGCCTCTTTTAAAATACACGCGTAAAAACCGAAATTAGTTTTATGTTGTTTTCTTGAAGGCTGAACCATAACGGAGAATATGCGCCATTGATCACGACAATCCGTTGGTAAATCGATTTTTAACAGATTTTTAAACGTATATACCCAAGTTCAGTATTCTGGAGCAGCGGCCGTTAGACGTTATTTTAAATTTTCAGTGTTGGGGAACGTAAGAATTTGGTGCAAGTTGTGATGCATAACGTCAGTTTCCTTGCTATTAGCGGTGGGCAAGCTAAAAAGTATGCGATTGCAGTTACGAGGAAATCATTTTCATATGTTTTTAGCAAGGAAACTGACGTTATGCATAACAACTTGCACCAAATTCTTACGTTCCCCAACACTGAAAATTTAAAATAACGTTTAACGGCCGCTGCTCCCGAATACTGAACTTGGGTATATACGTTTAAAAATCTGTTAAAAATCGATTTACCAACGGATTGTCGTGATCAATGGCGCATATTCTCCGTTATGGTTCAGCCTTCAAGAAAACAACATAAAACTAATTTCGGTTTTTACGCGTGTATTTTAAAAGAGGCCATTTATGCCAGCGTTTTTGATATTTTTCCAAAT